TTTTTCATCTACAGAGTACAGTGTATTAACTTAAGATGTGTGTAAGCTATTGAGGGTTCTGGGGTTTTCCATACAAATTACATGGAACTTAGTCCAAAAGGTAAATGTCAGTTCAATGAGAAGTAAAACCAAACTACAACTCAGAACACACAGCCTTATGAAAGGCGCACCACCAAGCTCAAATTTCCCAATAGCATGAACTTTCAGTTTTCAAAGATCAAACTCATTATTATATAATAACTACCACACTGGAAAGTGTCTAAGTGAAACAACTTTTGCTGTATCCATCCAGTCGATATCCTAAACTGATTTGATACAAAATGTATCAAAGGTGGAAGATATACATAGTCTCAATTAAGAAGATACAGGGCAGGAGCACTGCATAGGGAAATACTAAAATCAAAACATACAGATGTATTACTTAAGGTGAAAAAATACAGGCAAAGAGTTAAGAACTGCTCAGTTTGCTGCTGTTTTACAACAAATGGGGATGTAGATTCATCCAGATTTGAGCTAAAACATTTGCACAAAGTTGACCATAAAACATTCACTCTATAGTGAGAAGAATCCTTTAAGTCATGAAACTGCATGTACTGAAACCCTGAAAAGACAACAGACACTTTCTAAAATAAATGGGGAAACTAAAGAATACAACTCTGAAAATCCATGACCTGGCCAGCAACTGCAAAAGTCTTTAAGTCACTTAAAGTAATCTGAAATTTCCAACACAATATGAGAACTGACATTCCCATCATCACCATGAATGCAAGAGTTATGGAAAAAAAGAACAAGGAAATTGCAACACACGTACCTTTGTTTCTTCAATACTTGGGAGTGGCAAGTTCAGAAATTTTTCTGTTAGTCGTTTCCAGCTTGCAGCTTTTCCAAGGTCAGAATGAACTACCAATTTTTCATGTATTCTAATAACAAAAATAGTATCAAAAATGCTTCAAAGAAGTTAACTAATGCATTATTAATCCACAAGCAAAAAACTTACCCTTCTATCGTCCTCTCCACTTTGTGACTGTTCACATCAAGAAAACGGTGAAATCTGTGTAAGAAACTTGTATCAGAATATGTTTAAAAAGGAAGTTTAAATAAGGAAGAAAATAAAGCTGATGTACATATATGAGGACAATATTATTAGTTTAATAATGCATGCTTAATTTAGCAACAGCATTGAGCACGACCAAAATTTATTTCAGTGTCGCTTAGTCCAAGGATTAACGACAACTGACCTTAAAGACGGAAAAATGGAATGCAAGTTACATTTAGCCAGCACTTTAAGGTAAATGAAAAATTACTATTATATCAGCAAACTAAGCAATTAAAGTACACTGTCAGTCAAGTCGAGCAAGGAGATCAAGAACCATATTGTCAAAGGTGTCTGTGTTGAATACATTAAAATTATATGGGATTTGCATCACAAGCCCAGGCAAAACAAACACCCACATAGGAAGGTCTCTAAACCCAAATGAAGCTCCTTTACAAATAGTGAAGGAGGGTGACCTAAAAGAAAAGAGAGCTCAAAATAAAGCTTTATGAAAATAAAGATATATCACCAAAGGCAGCATGTAGAAGGGACAAAATAAGAACTCATGAGATGTTAGAGGGACTTTTCAGAATAAATTAACATATAAGTATTCTTATAAGACTATTAGACTAAGGTTCTTCAGTTATATATACAGAAAAAAAACAAAAACAGGATGTGACAGCAGTAAGTCAAGGTCAAAATACTCTATTTGTAGGGCCTCAAAGCCATCCTAATATTTTGCCTCAGCTTCCAGCAAAAAGTATACAGAATACAAGGGTAAAATTCTCCTGACCACAAACAGAAACGAAAACTGCAAGGTCTGAATCAGAGCTAAAAATAAAGCTAAACAGACTGAATTTGGAAGACTATACAAGATCACCTCAATGTCAAAGTAATGAACTTGAAAATGAAATTGTAAGGCAGGTAGCAAGGATTTTAAATAAGTATCACTGGAAGATGAAAATATGCCCATATTAAAGAAAAAATTACTTTGTTAGCTACAGAGCCATTAGTCTGATTTAAGCTGTGTGTAAGGCTTTGGAATAAAAGCAAGATGAAATGTAATATTAAGTAGGTAGCTAACATTTAGTTTAAGACAATATAGCTTATCTCATTCATTGCAGCACACCAGCTTACATAGAAATCTGTAGTTCAAATGGAAAATGGTGATAAGTACAAGAACTGGAAAATTAGTAACAACACCCTGGGAAGACAATAAAAAAAAAAACAACAATGTGCACTGAAACAAAAAAAAAAAAAAAAATCAAGCTGAAGGGAAGCTATTACAGATAGTAAGTAATAGCAAGGAAGTAATAGTCTATTACTTAAAGATGTAATTAATGGCTGTAGCGCACACACATACAAAAAAAAGTACCAATTTTTTTAGGCAAGTTGGGAACATTATGAATAAGAGGAGTAGCGTGCTGCATGCAAAGAAACAGATGAATCTGAGAACGACAGCACAGAAACAACATGAAATATAAGAATACAAACCACAGATTTCACAAACTTGAAACTAGAGAGTTTCTGATAAAATCTACGGTCTTTCAGTTTGGAAATATTCTATTAGTCAGTCTCAGGCTGATCTTTCAGGCACATCTCTTAGACAAAAATTCTTGCATAAAACCCTTCTTCCCAACCTTCGCTATCAGAACTGTTTGTTGCCAACTCTGCATCACCTTTTCTTTTTTCCTGCTATGTTTTTGTTTTGGGTTTTTTGGAGCAAACAAACACCACACACAAAAAGTCTCTAATCTAAAAGAGCACATACCTACACAAGCACCTGGGACACTGAAATAGAGGGTGAGACATCACAACAGCAGATGGACCACAGGCCTCATTTATCTGCCCCAAGAAACCCTGCTATCATTACCAGTCTGCAGACCCAGAATAACAACTGCTACAAGCACCTATTTTGATGGAGCTACAAAATTAGTAAATGGTAAATGCAATCCTATAATGCACTTAAAAGTATTTCTGGTAAAGAACTCAGAGAGACAGCAGTTACAAATGCCATATTCCTACATTCCCAATGGACGCAACTAGCCTCCTAAAAATTTAGCAGTGTCAAACTCGTTAAAACACCTACAGGTCAAACCCAGCTCTCCCACACCTCAGACTCACTTCTGCTGTTAACCACCGGCTATCTGGTTATTAAAATAGCTTTACTTGAGACTATTAGTAGTTAGGATTCACTGGCAATGCAATTATGCTATTGCTTACCCTCAAAAATGGATTTAAACAGCATTAAAAAAAATGCAGGTAGCATTGATTTTATGCAGATTAGGTAATTGCTGCACGAAGATAAGCAAGTACATAAGACTCCAAAGAAGCAGCAGTTAGGGATAGTATGGGAAACTGAAAATAGCTCATGTAAAAATTCTCAGTAGTCACTGAAACAATAACTGTGATAACTAAAGCAGTGTGCAGAACTAGACATTTTAGATAGCAGCGTAATATAGAATTAAAGGAATGTATTATCATACATTGCAGGTCAATAAAGACCATGCTTATGAGAAGCTCAAATAACATCTAAAACATTACCTTCTCCAGACTGATAACCTTTCTTATAAGCAGCATAATATGTTTTTTTCCCAAAAGCTTTATAGCTATTTCATAGAACCATAGAATGTTTCGGGTTGGAAGGCACCTTAAAGATCATCCAGTTCCAATCCCCTGCCAAAGGCTGGGACACCTTCCACTAGACCAGGTTGCTCAAAGCCCAGTCCAACCAACACATGCAGGGATGGGGCAGCCACAGCTTCTCTGGGCAACTTGTTCCAGTGTCTCACCACCCTCACAGTGAAGAATTTCTTCCTAATGTCTCTTACAGTGTAAAACCACTCCCCCTTGTCCTGTCACTACATGCCCTTGTACATGCTCCGCTAAGTCTCCCCAGAGCCTTCTCTTCTCCAGGCTGAACAAGACCAACTCTCTCAGCCTGTCTTCACAGGAGAGGTGCTGTATCTCTCTGATCATCTTCATGGCCCTCCTCTCTGCAACACGTCCATGTCCTTCTTACGCTGTGGGCCCCAGAGCTGAACGCAGCATTTGTTAGAGTCCTCTTTATTTGCTCTTCATAAACTGATTATTTCTTTACTTCTCTCCAACAAACATTTTGGATGTCTAAATGAAGATGCTGAAAGGTACTTTCTTACGGATCAGGTGAAAAACCCTAAAAGACCGAGATATAAACAGAATAACATCCATGGTCCTCTTACAGGGACTCGCAAACACCGCCCATTCTCACCCCAGACACCGTGCCCGGGGAGTACAGCAGCCCATGGCCCTGCGCCACACCTCAGCAGCCACAGGGCCTCCCTTCTTTCCAGGCGAGTAGGTGACGGCGCTGCCGGGTCACACCACACCGCAGCGCCCCGGCACCTGCCCAGCGTCGGAGACCGAGCCCCCCAGGGGCTCATTCCATCAGCAGCGCCGATGGGCCCCGGCCGGGGCGCGGCGAAGTAGCCTGCTCTACTCGCCCGAGCCCTGATAGTAATGGGCACCGCGAGGCCGCCGCAGCAGCGGAGCTTCGTGCCGGGCTGGGGATGGCGGGCGCTGACCTGAAGTTGGACCAAGCGAAATTCAGCGCCGCCTGGAACCGATCGCTGCCTAGCTCCTCCTCAGGCAGGCCGGTCACACTGCGCACCAGCGCTCGGACGGCCCAGTCCTGCTCCTGCTCGAAGCGGCTGCGGTGGCCGGGAGAGACGAGTGGTGCCGCCATGGCCGCAGCACCGGAGAGAAAGGAGGGGCGACACCTCCGGGAGGCGCCACCGAACCACCCCTCAGCATCACCACCACCACCACATCGCGCGGGACTGCGCTGCTCGCGCGGTTTCACTGGGACTTCTCGCGAGAGCCTCTCTCCAACGGGATTTCGGGAGGGAGCGTGCGCATAAACTGATGGGGAAGTGGGGTCGAGGGGCATAGTGGTGTCAAGGGGGGTGGTCGCTCGGTCGGTGTCGCCTGTAGCAGCTGTGGCCGTCTAACCCCATGTCTGCAATGGCTTTCTGTCACGGGAATGTCTCTTGTCAAAGGGAAACACCGCAGTAAGGCGTGATCACCCGGGATAAGTGAATTAGCTACCGGTAGGCATCCACCTAAGGGTTCGCTGCTGGCTCTATCTGCGTGGCAGAGTTGGTTTGAGGAAAGCAAAATGCAGTACCTCTCTTGATAGGCGTATTTGGAGTCGGCTTTTTGCATAGGACATTCCATCACTCAGAGGGTTTCCCAACGGCTCCGTGCTACACATCACACCAGCTACTCTGTGACCCATTTCAATTGTACTTACTTGGAGCAGTACTTAAAGACTTTTTAAGTGTATGCTGAGACCACCTTGCACCAACAGGCCTGGCTCTCACCCTGCTCTACTGAGGCAGCTGTGTGTGTTCCTCCCTGACTAAACTGATTTTGTATGGCAGGATAAATCATAGTTAGTGGATATTTGTTGGAGTGAGTCTAGAGGAGGCCACAAAAATGAACAGAGGGCTGGAGCACCTCTCCTGTGAAGACAGGCTGAGAGAGTTGGTCTTCTTCAGCCTGCAGAAGAGAAGGCTCTGGGGAGACCTCACAGTAGTCTTCCAGTACCTAAAGGAGGCTTACAAGAAATCTGGAGAAGGGCTTTTTACAATGGCATGTAGTGACAGGGCAAGAGGGAATGGCTTTGAACTGACAGAGGGTAAATTCAGATTAGATATTAGGAAGAAATTCTTCACTGTGAGGGTGGTGAGGCACTGGCACAGGCTGCCTGGAGAAGCTGCTGCTGCCCCATCCCCAGCAGTGTTCAAGGCCAGGTTGGATGGGGCTTTGAGCAACCTGGTCTAGTGGAAAGTGTCCCTGCTCATGACAGGGTGTTGGAACTGGATGATCTTTAAGGTCCCTTCCAACCCAAACTATTCCCCAATTCTGTGATACGATTCTACAACATTCGGTACACAGGACATAAGCATACACGCAAGACTGGAGTAAGAAACCAGTTTTGTCCTACTTCCATGTCAAACATTGGCTGATCAGCAAAAAATGCTTTTGTACCTCTATATAGTTTTATAGGGCTGCAAAGATAACAGCCTGGCCATGATAATCCTTCTAGAAAGAAACCAACTAAATCTGTGGGAAATATTATTCACTAATACCTGTAATAGTCCCTGCTTTGATGCAGTTGTCCTGTCCTTCATTTTTGGGCTTTATCTCGCTTGATCTCATCAACAAATATTGGATTGTAATCCACCCTGCCAATGTTTTTTTTTGTCCATTAAAACATTTGTATTGGCAGAGCAGGAGTAGCTAATTGATCAGGAGGAGAGGTAGAAAGAAGTCCTCAGAAATGTTATTTTTAATTTAAAATATATTTAGTGTACGAACAGAATGTGAAGAATTATATAAAAATATAGTAGTGTAATTTAATAATCCTAAAAGTAATAAAATCACATTGAAATTCTTCTAAGTTACAGTGTATTAAGAAACACTAGAACATTTTTACCTGGGTAGGCTAAATCTTACTTTAGGTTCTGGATGTAGATCTGCAAGGAAGTGATGGCTTCACTACACCAGCAGGCAGGAATCTCAGCATGAACATGAGCTCAGAAGGGCTCTGCTCCAGGGCTTTTCTTATAAAGCCTTAACTTATTAAACATTCAAAGGAAAAGTCTATAAAACTTTACTGGTGTTCATACATCTCTTCTGACACTGTAGATGTTTCCTACTTTAGATGAGCAACAGTCATTTCACTCCTTAGTTGATGTAGCCAAACAACGTTTTGAGCTATAATTTGTCCTAGGTTTTAACTAAAGGTGTACACAGTCAGTAGACCCTGCAAATAGTAATTGGAATACTGTGAATGGCATTTAAACAAAATCATAAGATCTTAAGGCTTCAAGTGTTCTTTATACAATGTAACTCTGGTTATCACTTAACTCCTATATATTTAAGCATACCTGTGCTATTTCTTCAGTTTTGCTCAGAGGGGAAGCTCCAGGCTTTGCAGCATGACAGGAGCACATGTGTGTCACCTGTGCCTTTGTGGTGAGTGTGGCAGCCACCCGTTTCAGCGCCCTGTCAGAAAAGGAAAGATAGATTTTTCACAGCGTGAAGCATTCCAGATCTTAACAGCTGCCTTGTGATACACTGAGTACCATGAAACATGGGCTTTAATGACAGCACTGTCTGAAAGGTTTCCTGCATCCCAGCTGCCCCATGTAAGTCCATTTCCCCTCACACCACACCCTCAACTGTGCTGTTTGTAGAGGAGCAACACAGTGACCTGAATCAGGGAATGGATCCAGATTAAAAATAGTCTTGTTTCTGTTTTGCCAGGAGTTTTGACATGGATCAATTCACTGATCCATTTCTTTGGAGGTGTCAAGAAGTGAGGGAAGAATCACACACCCTAAAGCCCCCAGGCAATACAAATAGACCCTCCATTGCAAGCAAATCAGAAACCCGTGGCTGGTTTTCAAAACGATACATGGGCTGGGATAAATGTATAACATCTGTGCTGCCTCAGTCATAAAAGACTTTAATGCTGCAAATGTTTGGGGCTTTTTTGGTCTTTCCCTCATCATAAGCTTCCTCATTTATATTTTCATTTTGCCAATTTACAGTAGCAAGGCTTGGTATTTGATTTCAGCTGGGGGAGACAGCACTGGGCAGGGAGGAGGCATGAAGCCCCTCTCTGAAAGTAATTTAAGCTCTTTTTTAAAGTAACGTTTAATGCTGGGAAGCTTAATAGTTTATATTCCTTGATTTTCATGTTGTAACTGTCACTTCCCACCCAGCTGTCCTTTCAGGTCACAGTGCTATGAACTAGATGTATTTCAGTTAAGATCTCCCTTGCTCATAGCATCAGATCATATTTGGGAGATGTGTCCTTCTCTGTAATGTCATATAAACACCTGTGTCCAGTTGCATATTGGAGGAGGAATTACGATGCAAGTCTTTTGCTGAACTGTACATCTCTTAGGGAAGCTTCTCTGAGCAGGCAATCTCTCCCTTGCTTCTCAACTCCAAAGAGCCAATTTGTTAAGAAGGATTCTAAGGCAGGAGAAGGAATGAATGAGTTGAAACATGTCAGGCTGCTGTAAACTGTTAGACAAGCCAGCTACGTGAGATTCACACTTAATGCATGAGACTAGTGAGGTCTCCCTTCGCTTTTATCAGTCACCTCTGGTACCTGCAAAGCAGGATAAATTCCACAGCATGAATGGACAGTATATTTAAAATACTGTGTTTAAAGAAGTACTGCAGATTTTAGGTTTTTGTCATTTTCAGTGTATCTATAGAAATAATTATTTAATAAGTAGCTGAAAGGGGGTTACAGAAAATTGTTATTTACCATAAATACGTTGCCCATATGCTTCCCTTTACCACCAACTTCAGCATGTGTGAGACTAAAGTGAGTGCTGAGCTACCAGGAAAGAGTAAGACCTGCCTTTATGGTCATGCAAAAATCAATACAGATAGCTGAATACTGGAAAAGGCTATAAGCTCATGATTTACAGCAGAAATTACACAAAAATACCTCTGAAAAGCAACAGGAAGATGAAGTACCTGATCTTTATCCTTAACAGGAAGGAGGTCATCTGATAACTTTCTACTACAACAGATTTTGATGTGCACCCTAACTTCTTACTCTCAGTTCTGCATTTGGCAAAGTTTCACAACTGAGTATAATGTAGGACACGTTTAAAAAACTGCTGAAACAGACTTTAAGTCTGCAATTGATAGTGGTTTGTGCTTGCCTGTTAGTTGCAAGATCGATAAAGATTTGATGTAGTTGTAAAGGAAAAAGAGGATAGAAGAGTGCAGATAGAGAAATTGTAAGGATACCAAGCTGAATAACTGAAATTAAGAGAGCAGGATAGTAGGGGTGATTTGAGGAATTTGCTGGTGTATTAAAGTCCTGCTTAAAAATTAGGATTTAATATGCAGTTAAATTTTCATTCAAGGATGTTATCTATTGTAACAGAATGCATACTGCATAATGCATAATGCATACAATTACACCATTATCATCAGCTTCAGCAAAGATCATTGCACAGTTCTGATGTACCTTATGCAGTGTTTTGACTAGAGTGTAGAATATTAGATATAATTCTGACTATGTGTAATCTCTTCTTACAGACCTTGGAGGACAGGCTTGGCCAGCAGTCACCCTTCAGGTAGGCATATTGCTGAAACCTTACAGAGCTGTTAAGTTTTCTTTATAAATCAACAAAAGAAAAACACAAACGTGTGACACAATGGATAAAGAAAGAGATAGAAAGTGGATATTGGGCTTACTGGAGAACATAAGGGATGCAGCCAGAACACAGAGAAAGATGGAAACAAAAGGAGTCTAGCAGGAGACTTCACCCCCCCCCCACCCCCCCCCCCCACCCCCCGCTTTTAAAAAAAAAGAAAGAAAAAGCAGGAGTTGTGTGATTTTCACATAGTTTGGTACAAATTAAATAGCACAAATAGAGAGTAACAGGTTATGAGGTTCAGCTTAGTTTTCTGTGATCCATCCCATCAGGGCAGTAATGGTACTGCTGTGATACCTTATGCTGTTTGACTTCATGGAAGACTCAGTCACAGAACATGGAAATCATGGTGTCCCAGGTCACTATCTCACTGTCAACAGCAAGTTGTTAGAATATTGTGTAGTGGGTAGGGAACTGCCTGACAGGCTGCACCCAGCGGGCGCTGGCAAATAGCTCCTTTTCCAACTGGTGACCTGTCACTAGTGGGGTCCCCCAGGGATCCATACTGGACGCAATATCTTCATAAATTATCTGGAAGTTGTTATCAAATGTACCATGACCAGTTTGCCAATGATACCAAACTGACTGGGGAAGTGGACACTTTGTAAGGGAGAGCCACACTGCAGGAACACCTGGGTAGGCTGGAAGAGTGGGCTAACAAGAACCTTATGGAGTTTAACAAGCACAAGTATAAGGTCTGGACCTGAGTAGACACAATCCAAGAGTGCAGCATAGGCTGGGATCTACTTGGCTGGGGAGCAGCTCTTTGGAAAGGGACCTGCGGGTCCTGGTGGACAGCAAACTCCGTATGAGTGAACAGAATGCAGCTGTGGCAAAGAAATGCAACGTGGTGCTGGGTTACATCAACAAAGGCATTTCCAGCTGAAGTAAAGAGGTCATCAGGCCGCTCAACCCAGCTGTTGTCAGGCCACACCTGGAGCACTGTGTTCAGTTTTGGTGAAGAAGTTGTGTACAGGCTGGAGAGGGTCCAGAGATGGGCCACAAAGATGATCAAAGGATGGGGAGCCTGATGTATGAGGAAAGGCTGAGAGAACTGGTTGTGTTCAGCCCAGAGAAAAGAAGGCTCAGGGGAGACCTTATCACCATGTTCCAGTATTCAAAAGATACAGCTTACTCCTCTGGAAATGCCAATTGGACACTAGGGAAAACTTCACAATGAGAACAATCAACCATTGGAATAATTCTGCCAGGGAAGTGGTAAATTGCCCTACACAGGACACTTTTAAGATTTGCCAGGACAGGGTGCTGGGATATCTAGTCGAGGTCATGTTTTGCCTAGAAAGGTTTGACTAGATGATCCCTGAGGTCCTTTCCAACCTGATATTTTATGATTCTATGAATACTGAGGTATCTCAAGTGTTACTCAATAGTAACTGTTCAACAGGTAGGCTGTAGCTTAGTGAAATTGGATCCATGGAAAGCTTTGCTGAAATAACGGTACTTTACTCTGGATTTTTTACTTGGATCTAATGCATTTTCTCTCAGTAATGTAACTCCAAAAGGTGAGTGGGGTTGCCCAGGCCCCCAGGGTTTCTTACCTGTTTGTGGATTAGGCTGAGGGATCGTTCTTTTAATCCTCTGTGGGAACTGGGCTTGACCTTCATTAGCAAGTTTTTCAGTTTGTGGAGCCTGCCATTTATATTCTGGTTCTACTTTCTTCACTTTTCCCACCCATTAAAGCCTTCAAACTTTCTTAGACAGTTTCACCATATGTTGCTCTCTTTTTTTGGCTAAAAAAAAGGTAGATGCTTTCTTCTTTTATTGTACCCTTTCCAACTAAAAATATTTTTCTTCTAGAACTGTCTTGATTTTTATTTTCAATGTAAATGCACTGGCTTAAGTTTCCATCCATGACAGATCCTTCTGGGATCTGTTTTGTTATTCTGTTCATATGTGCATAAATGTTACAACTTGTGGAGGGATACGGTTGCTTGGTTTTGTCAGCTACACCAATGTGCAATCACTCTATTACAGAGAAAAAAGAATGTGATAACAGCTTCTTTCCTCATACAGAAAAAATTACCTATATCTGGGCATTCAAGACTATCTAAATCTTCTCAGATTTAAATACAAATGTCTCTTGTTTATGAAGGGATCTGGCCATATAAGCTTTCCTTATAAACCTCTTCAATCTTTTCAAAGGAAAGGTCTATAAAACTTTACTGGTGTTCGTACATCTCTTCTGACACTGTAGATGTTTCCTACTTTAGATGAGCAACAGTCATTTCACTTTTTAGCTGGTGTAACCAAACAATGTTTTGAGCTATAGTTTGTCCTAGGTTTTAACTAAAGGTATACACAGTCAGTAGACCCTGCAATTAGTAATTGGAATACTGTGAATGGCATTTAAACAAAATTATAAGATCTTAAGGCTTCAAGTGTTCTTTATACAATGTAACTCTGGTTATCACTTAACTCCTATATATTTAAGCATACCTGTGCTATTTCTTCAGTTGTGCTCAGAGGGGAAGCTCCAGGCTTTGCAGCATAACAGGAGCTTCAAAATCTCTTGATCACAGGATTTTTAAGGCATGTACTGGCCTGGTAGACAAGACAAGAGCATTGGATAGTGTCTGCCTGGACTTCAGCAAGACTTTCAGTGCTGTCTCCCATAAGATCCTCATAGAAAAGCTTTTCAAGTATGCTGTGGATTAGTAGAAAGTGAGGTGGATTGAAAATTGTCTGAACTGCTAGGTTCAGAGGTTACTAGCTCCTGGATGTACTGGTAATCAGCAAGTCTGAAATCATTTCAGGTGCTGGAGTGAGCAATAGATTGTCTAATGGGCTCCCATTCCAAGCTGTGACAGCACTAGCTGTCACAGCATAAAGGGCGTTTCTATTTGTTTATTTACTTATTTATTTAGGGCATAAATATTTATTTAAGGGCATTTATTTTTAATTCATCTGAGTAATGGAACTGCAGCATGTAGTAGGGGCTCCATTGGTGGTGATGGTATTTGAATCTGATTTCCAGGCATAGAATGGAAGACACAGTGTAAGAATGACAGTCAAGAATAAATGAAGTATGAGGAATTAATTTGGGCTTGTCCTTGAGCTGAAAATTTCTAATGAACATACAGCAAATAACATAATTGCTATATAGTAGTAATTGCTATATAGTAGGCTAAAATGTGGAAAAACTGGTAATTTAATATGATTACAATATGGATTAAACCAAGTTGAAATAATTGGAAGCAATCTTCATTTTTCATTTGAGAGAATTGCAAGAAGTCTACAGGTTCCTTTATCTGAGCTGGCAGCAGAGATTAAGGTGTCCTTCTTACCCAAAGCACTGGTAATATCCCTGCCTAAAAGAAATAAAAATGACAGCTGCTCAGAAGTTTCTAAGGAACAGTTCTTTCTAAGAACTGTTTTGATCCAGTGGCATCTGGAAGGATGAGAGATAGTCCAGATGGTGAAAGAGGTAGACAGACCTCAGGGCAGCCTAAACAAACATAGCAGTGTGATCGTGAGAAGACACATTTGTAGGGTGTTTGGTGAGAAGGAGCTTGGTGATGAAAACTGCCAATTTGTCTGATTCTCTGTATGTTCAAAAAAGCAGAACTCTGTACATCCTTTTTAGTAGAGAACTGTGCTGGAGATTAAGATCCTTCATGAATTTTCCTTTTAAAATCAATTAATCTGCACCAAATCCCACACTTGTATACTGCACAAACCTTTTGCATTAGTGGGGATGAAATTGATGTCTGCACGCAATTTAGTCCCACAACTTTTGCAGGTAGCACATCACTATAGAAAAATGATCATGACTGCAGTTTTACAGAAATTGACATTTGCTTTATGCCTTACGATATAGTTGGCTTACATGTCTTGCTAAGCTTAGCAAATACATCCCTTTGGAGATGCTTAGAAAGCATAACTTACTTAAATTGTGAAGGTTTTACTAGCCCTTCTGTCCACGTGATTTGGGAACTAGTAATCATCCATGTTGTCAAGTAACCCTACCCAGCACCTATGCCCCTCACAGCTGCTCACTCACCTCCTGGTAGGATGAGGAGAGAATCAGAAGAGTAAAAGTAAAAAAACTCATGGGTTGAGATAAAGACAGTTGAACAGGTAAAGCAAAAGCCACACACACAAGCAAAGCAAAATAGGGAGTTCATTCAGCACTTGCCGTCTGCAGGCAGGTTATTCAGGCATCCCCAGGACAGCAGGGCTTCATCACACACAATGGTTACCTGGGAAGATAAACAACATCACCCCAAACATCTGCCCCTTCCTCCTTCCCCCAGCTTTATACGCTGAACGTGACTCCATATGGTATGGAGTATCCCTTGGGTCAGTTGTGGTCAGCTGTCCTGGCTGTATCCTCTCCCAGCTCCTTTTGCACCCCCCAGCCTACTCACTGGTGGGGTGGGGTGAGGAGCAGAAAAGGCCTTGATTGTGTAAGCGCTGCTCAGCAGTAACAAAAACATCCCTGTGTCATCAACACTGATTTCAGCACAAATCCAGAACAGCTATGGAGAAAATGAACTCTATCCCAGACAAAAGCAGCATAATCCAGCTGATTTATGACTGAGCTACTACAAGTGTTTCAATTTGGGAAGTGGGGGAGTGGGGGGCGAATGTTTATCCAGTTGTTTATATGATTTTCCATCACAGTTATGAGACTAACTAGAGTTTACCCACCATCACCTTTCCCAAAAGACACAGTCTAGGAGGGAGGATTTGGGAATGCATAATAATGGTTTTTAGCAGGTCATTCCCAAGTGATAAATCCCAAGTAGCTCTGTTCCTAGGGAGGACATAATATTTTCATCTTCACCCAACACTTCTATGCTCAGAGGATTTCCAATTGCATAAAACAAGTCTCAGTGCTGAAAGAAATCTGGGAGCCAAGCTGGCCTCAAAAAGAGATCAGCTTAATCTGAAGAATGCAATGGCCTTTTGCCAAAACACAGAAGAAAGCCAGGTCCTGAGAAGTCCTGTAGATCACATCAGTAATGAAAACTGAATTGAACAATGTGAGATTAATGAGGAAAACTGTAAAATGTCTGGTAAAATAGACTGCTTTTAATAGCCTTAAAATTACTCTTACCAGGTGGGCCAGTTCAAGCAAACAATAAATCAGAACAGGAATCACTGCTGTCCACTTCCTGAACTTCTGTAACAGAAGCCTACCAGCACTGTCACAGTGCTGTTGGAAGCAGAGCAAGAATTGACATAGGGAGAACCCCTCAGTAAAAAATCCACTAGAGTTTATTTCTAGATCAGAAATCCAAATATGCAGTATTGAAAAACCTATTTTAAAAACAGAAAAAGTGAAGGTTCCTGTTATAACTTGCAGCATGTATTCCTTGAGGTCTTTAGGAATGACATCTAGTGCCTAGGTAGCAATTTCAATGCAGAATAACAAGGATGGTTAGTTTAAAACCTTGGGCACTTTTGAACCGATTCTGAGTCTAATCAAAATGGTGAATGGTTAAGTCAGATTTTGCTGTGTCAATACACTATTGGTTCACAGATCTCTATTTGCAGATAGACAAAATATCATGAAACTCTCCAGAGTATGTCTCAAAAAGACATTTCTGGAAAATCTAATAATTATAGGCAAATATACATGCCCTGTTGGCTGTTGAACATGGGTCATGACACTAGCATGTAGCTAGAAGCTCATTTAAATGAGCCAACAGACACCTCTCCAGTAGTCCACCAGTAGAAGATAGAATCAATGTTTCAGCTATAACTGAAAAGCTGCTTCAACGTCAAAACAGCAGCTGTGAAGAGCAAAACATAAAAACACAAGAGAACTCCCTATGAAGTGGGGAGAATAACAGTGTCGTGGTTTAAACCAAACCAGACAACTCGTTCGCTCACTTCCCCCCCCCCTCTTCTTGCCCTCCCCCTACTCCCGGAGGGACAGAGAGGAGAGTCAAAAAGAATGCAACTCCCACAGTTGAGATAAGAACAGTTTAGTAACTAAGGTATAACACAAATCACTACTGCTACCACCAATAATAACAATGATAAAGGAAATAACAAGGGAAGAGAATACAACACCTCATCACCAGCCGACCGATAACTCGCCCCCCAGCCCAACCAAGCACCAACCCATACCTCCTCCAACCCCGCAGTCCCAGCCCTTCCGGGTAACTCTCAGTTACATCCCAGGCGTGACGTGCTGTGGTATGGAATACCTCTTTGGTCAGTTTGGGTCAGGTGTCCTGTCTCTGCTTCCTCCCGGCTTCCCCTCCTCCCTGGCAGAGCATGAGGCTCACAAAGTCCTTGGCCAAACCAAAACATCGCTATCAGCTCTGTTCCCAGGCCGAAAGTCAAAACACAGCACTGCACCAGCTACCAAGAAGGGGAAAAATGACTGCTACTGCTGAACCCAGGACAAACAGCAATAGCAAAACAGCTTAACAGGAAGCAACAGAAAAGACCATAGCAAGCTTTATGAATGTAAAACAGGTAAAGAGACAAGCAGTCCCCAGAGAATATCCTGATCTCTTTTTAGAACAGCTAAGCAGGTCACCAGGAGTGGCTGGAGGGTATATAGTCTTCTTGACACTTTCTGCTGGTCTTATGTAGAAGAGTGCTACAGGTGCAGAGACATATGGGCTGGTTTTATGTATGTCTTACTAGCTTGAGTACCGGACAGTATGAATGTAGAACACTGCTTTTGGGGTCAAAGTCTAGAAGCCTTGCAAACACTTTTCTCGTGACTCTGAACCCAAATGAGTATCCTCAATCTGTCAGGTTCGAATAGATTTCTACACCTAGTTTACACAGATGTGTCTAGACCACACTCTAGCTTCAGTAAGGAACACAATGCTATAAGGAGCCCAGCAATGCAAAACTGAAGTGCTTCTTCATAGAGCTGACACATATGATTCAGTGATGCCCTTCCACTTATGGACCATCTCCATATGTACTAGGGCAGTGAGCTCTGTATGGCAGCTTAGGTACTGGTAGGACTTACTAGTTTGGACATCAGCCATACTCACATAGAGTGGCACCTGCTGCTGATGACTTTTCCATATTTAGAGGTGTGATGCACATCACCCAAACTGCAGTATTATTTCTGCACAACTAGCCATGAAAAAGGTAACTATAGCGAGTATCTGAATTCTTTGGATTATCTTAATTATTCCGAATGTCCTTATCTGTTAAAAATATTACTTGGTGCAAAATAATTTTTTTCTTCAATAACAGAAATCAAAGGGTACACCTGAATGCATAGGGAAGGATAACAGGAAGAACAGGAAGAAAATAGTTTTACTTATCTGCACAGGCAATGAGCAATTAATGTCTAAGCAACAAGCAACTATCAAAAATTAAGAATGCTCCAGAAATACATCCTTTCAGTGCAGACCTCATACTTTTTGGAGAGAGGACATGGAAAACTACTAGGGTGACTAATAAAAAGATTGATTTTTTTTTCCTCCAATGTAAATGCTCCTAGGAAATCCTGAGAGAAGGATCTTCTTATAACATCAAGAATTCTAACTAGGACAAACCCACATCAGTATTAAGCACAGCAAGGTGATTGACAGACACATTTAGGACACCAGCATGACTTCCATAACAAGTGATAAGATGGATGCCATCTGGAAATCACACAAAAGGAGTTGGATGCCGATAAGCTTCTGTCAAAGTTGATCTCTGTATTTTTCTGTA